TTATGAGCACTCGGTGCTCTTGCAGAGGACCTAGGTCCCGGTACCCACACCAGATAGCTCACAACTGCCAACTCCAACTTCAGGGGGGATCTGATGCCTTCTTCTGACTTCTCTGGCCGGGTACCTGTGCTCGTGTATTAATCATACAGACAAGCAGGCAAACACACATACACGTAAAAATAAAAACTTCATTATACATATGCATGTGTCTGTATTGGGTACATGAACATGTGTGCAGGCGTGAAATCCCCTGGAGCTGGAGTTACAGGCGGTTGGGAGCTGCCCAGTGTGGATGCTGTGAACTCAAACTGGGTCCTGGGCGAGAGCACTAACTATATACTGAAGTAGAAACTTTAGGGGTTCTTTGGACAGTCAGTTGTGTTGGATGGTGTTTTGTTGGGGCAAACAGATGAAGGAGTGTTTTCCTGGACATTGGAAAGACTAAGGCAGACTGGTGAAGAAATGTTTCACTGAAGCAGACATGGGAGAGAGGATGTTCTGTTGTTCTTGGTGCTGACTGGATACTTGACAGCCAAACCTGTCAGGGCAGGTTATTCGGCATGTTTTCAAGGTTGGGGACAAAACAAACAAACACCCCAAAAAACCATCACCACCACCACCAACAAAAAAAAAACCCAACAACAACAAAAACCAGGCAAAAACAACAACAACAACAAAAAAAAGAAGAAAAAATCACCAAGTTTAGCACAACAGACCAAACAATACAACACACACACACACACACACACGTACACACACAAACAAAATGGATTGGATTCTCAGGTTTGGAGAGGAGAAGGCAGGGATGTAACCGTTAAAGCTACATTCCAATTCAGGTGTTAACTTGAAACAGTATTTATTCAGTGAACGCTACTGCTCTAGGTTACTAACATTACGGACCAAAAATTTAAAACTTTTCCCTCAGGGATTAAGAACACTACAGGTGATTTTCCAAAACCAGATGTCCAAACCACAGGGAAGTCACAAATGTCAGCTGCTGAAAGTGACTCTGCTTTTGGGTGGGGTGGGGGCTAGGAAGGGAGGGAGGAAACACAAGCTCAGTATCCAACCAGAGGAGTGGTTAAGTTAGGGTTTGGTGTTGTCAGTAGCAGAGTCTGTACACTAGGTGGCGCTCAGAGCCAAGACTGAAGCCAAGAAGGAACCCAAAATCATCTGACTTGCAGGGTTCTGAGGGATAAAAATAAAATTCTCAGAAGAGTCCACAATGGGACTGGTGTGTTGGAAACATGAAGGCGGAGAAATTTAAAGTCACAATAATGAGCTGAACATGTAGCCAGGTTGTGCCAATAAAGACGGAAGAACAAGGATTCTGAGTGGGGATGCTGTGTGTGTGTGTGTGTGTGTGCGTGTGTGTGTGTGTGTGTGTGTGTGTGTGCTTGTGCAGAGGCAGGAGGATTGGGAGTTCGAAGACAGGGCTACATAGGGAGATCCTGGCTCAACAAACACAAAAGAAAACAAACAAGCAAAATAACAAGAAAGAAAACAAACCTAAATAAACCCAAGAAAAAAAAGCATTGCTCGCAGAGACAGACAGGGTAAGAGATTGTGTCTTACAGTAGATGAGTCGCTGCCTCCTCACCCAAAAGAGTCAATTTGGGCTTGTGATGGTTGTGATCAAGTTGATAACAACTTTTCCCCAAGTCATAAGCGGGCAGTCGATGATAAAAATCATTCTCAATGAAAAAACCGGGAGCGCCGGGCGGTGGTGGCGCACGCCTTTAATCCCAGCACTTGGGAGGCAGAGGCAGGCGGATTTCTGAGTTCGAGAGTTCAAGGCTAGCCTGGTCTACAGAGTGAGTTCCAGGACAGCCCGGGCTATACAGAGAAACCCTGTCTCGAAAAACCAAAAAAAAAATAAAATAAAATAAAAATAAATAAAACATTCTAGTACCTAGTAAACACTAATAAATGTCAAAAAAAAAAAAAGAAGAAAGAAAAAACCGGGAGCCAGTGAGATGACACGGCAGGTAACATACCTGCCCGAAGCCAAGTGCTGGCCTTGTGTTAGATCCCCAGAGCCACGTGACGGTTCCCATCTCCACATACCACGCACACATCATTCCCACATGGGAATAATAAATGATAATCTGGGAAATCTATACAACTCTTGTCGATTCATCCGAAGCCTTGGTAAGAGTTCTGGTTGTCCTTCTGTTAGGATGGATCGGAAGTATGAGGACCACTCTATCACCAGAGACACAGAGGTACTGTCAGGGAGGAGTACCTGTCTTTCTGACACAAGGCCGGCCTGGTATTCTCCCAGCATGTCTGATGTGGAATGGCTTTCGTTGTTGTGCAGGGATTAATTACGTTAATGGTTAATAACGACTGTCAAGCTGACAGGATGGAGATCTGCCTAACGGACACCTCTGGATCTGTCCCTGAGGTGGGGTTCTAGACTCAGCTGAGATGGCAAGATCTTTTCAACAAATGACACCATTCTATGGCCTGGGGTCCCTGATGAGCTGAAAAGAAACCAGTAAACTGAGCACCTGTATCTGTTTGCTGCTTCCCGACTGTGGATGCCATGTGACCAAGCTGCTTCATAATTTCTCTCATAGTGGACTGGACCCCCAAACCTTCCTCAAGTTATTTTTTGTTGTCTATTTTTGTCATAGCAAGGAGAAAGGCAACTAACACACAGGAGGTCACACTACAGGCAGCAATCTCTAGTCGGCAGTCCTACTGACGGATGGGAAAATCTTACTCATCTTTGCTTTCTACAGCAATCCTGGCGATTTCAGCTAATTTATTCCTGTGCGCAACCCCTCTATGGATCTTTGAGACAAACTGTGGTACTCATGATTGAACCCTGACCCTTGCACATGGGATGGACGCCCCTAAGCTGACTCTGAGCCCAGAGTCCTTAAGCCCCTTTGCTTGGGAAAGGTGGCTGCTTAATGGAAATTCATCCTTTGGGATCTTTCTTCAAAAAAACAGTACGGTCATCACCTACGGTCTTGCAGAACTGCCCTTGGTTTGGACCCATGGTGGTAACTGGAGCAGAGGTCTAAAGCATTCAAAGCTGTTACTAATTTCCCATGAACCCGTGCTGAGCTATCAGGTTTGAAAGTTTAGTCAAGCATCCGAGTGCGTCAACATCTTAATAACAAACACATTCTAGAACTTTAGACGGGACCTTGGCTTGGTGCATCTTAAGACTTTATGACTTCATAGGGACAATCTATGGCTGCCACCTTCTTATTTTGTCAAGAAAAATACTTAAAGGAGTTGATACTACGACCACCATTTCATTGAAGGATACTTCAGTAGCATAGATGCTGGTATAGTTTTAGAATAAAAAGCAAACTCATACTGGTAACTTTTTCTTACTATTTTTCCTTCCTGGATAGCTAAAAATTTGTCCTTGGTCATAATCTGGGGACAAATGTCTTGCTTAGCACCATCACGTCTATTTAAAAAGCTGTGAGGTGAAGCGGTTCTGCCCATCAGGGTGAGGTGCCCTGTGGTAGCTTAGGCCTGCATCTCTAGCATGAGAGAGGCTGAGGCAGAGTCTGTGTTCAAAGCCAGCCTGAGCTACACAGTAAGACCGTCTCTAATAAATAAATCTTGACAACTAACCTATACAAACAAAGAGAGCCTACGCCACTTATACAACTAACTGGGGACCTTAGTCTGTGTTTCTCTTAAAGCCAAGTGCCACCGTAATGGGTAAAAAAATATCTTCCAACTATTTGGAAGCAGTTATCACTTATGAAATCACCCTTATCGTACAGTGCCATAATTAAAAGCCTATCTTGTATGTTGTATCATAAATTGTGACAGTCAGTTATGGGTGTAGACAAGGCCATCTGTCGGACAGATGTCACCATATCTCTAAACATGGCTCCTCACGCTGGAAACTCTAGGTGAACTCAAGATCTTGATGCAGAAAGTAAAGTCCAAGAGGGCAGCAGTTTCCTCTTCCAGGACAGCCACCAAATTTACATTGATCTAAAATTTGGAGACAAACCCTGATAGGGTCAGTTAGTCCAATCTGTTCATTTAAAGGCTGAGAAACAGGCCGGGGACAAGGCTTAGAGGATTAAGTGCCTGCTGCGTTTGCACGAGGACTGGGCCCCCCAAGCTCCATAAAAGCTAGGCGCATCTGGAGTTAGAGCATCTGGAACCTGGACACAGCCAAATCAATGAGAGATCTCTGGCATCTACATGTGAGCACACACTCTACACAAACACACAACATTCACACACTTCAAAGGCTGAGAAGCCAAGTGGCCTTGCTTGAGATCAGTAAATGGAACAGAGACGACAGCATGCTGTTCAGCAGTGGCTCGGGTGGTCAAATGAGGAAGATTCTTGGAGCCTCGGGCGCTCAGGCAGAGAGCAGCCATTGGATATTAATTAAGGCATGCCTTCAAGCCTTTGTAAGACAAAGATTGTATAGTAGAAAAGAAAGGGCGGTCCGTTTCATCCTCAGAGAGTTTCTTTACTAACTTAAGCCATGCACCTGATTGATTATCCCCAGTGGGAAATAAAAGCTCCCTATGCTTTTGATGGAAAGTTGTCACTCTCAGAGGCTGTGTGACTCTGAGGTCAGTATACTTGACTGTGGGTGTCTAACCCTCATCGATGGCGTCCGTCTGGTGTCCTTCTGTTCTTGGGCTGGTGGTGCTCTTTAACACTGCATGTGTGTGCTCAAGTGGAGGCCTGCGGTTGCTAACAGTGGCTTCCCGTATAGCCCTCCATTTTATTTACTGAGGTGGGGTCTCTTGTTCAACACAGACTTCATCAATTATGGCTGGTGTAGTCGGCTTGTTCTGGTGATCCTCACCTTTGCCTGTCAAGTGTTCGGATTACAGGCAAGCCCCCATGCCTGCCTGGCTTTTTTGTGGGTACACAATCCAGAGCCATCTCTCCAACAATCTTTGTGATTACTTAACCCACATCACTGTGGCCTAGATTTCTGCCAGTGGTGTCTACAGTGGATCAATTACATATCCACAGAGATGAACACAAAAGAAGTTGTTGCCCCTTTATTGGTGACCCGGGCGAGGAGTTTAAGAACAATATTCGGTTAACTCTGACTGAACACATGAAAGCACACAGGCTGAATCCATGCCATGACCTCAACCAGAAGGAGAGGCAGGCTCACGGCAGGGTTCTCCTCCGGTGTAAGAAATCAATGCAACTTCATCACACCCCATTACTTTCCAAGTTAACGAATAAGAAAAGATTTCCCCTTAAACGGACAAGTACAGTGTACATGTACATGATTTTGGAATAATTTAATACTTTAACCTCAAGATACAACTATATTCTAAGACCATTATTTTAAAGGAACGGATCCTTACAAGACCAAAATAACCCATATAGCATGAGGTTGGTTTAGCCTTTCTTTTTCTTCTTCTTCTTTCAACAAATGTGCACCAAAATGTTTCGATAGCAAGGCCGATGCCATGAAAATGTAAGCTGCGATTTGCAAGTACCAACCACATCTAGAACCCGGGGAGGCCAATCGGACGGTGGGTTGGGTGCCATTCTAATTAAATGATCGGGTGACATCACAACACGCTGGGGTGCAGCCTCGCAACTGTCCATTAAGTTTCTTTCTTCTTGATGATCAGAGGTCCCACGTTGTCGCCAGTCTCTTCGTTGTGCTTTATGTGAGCCCCATCACAGAACGGGAACTAGGAAGAGAGAGAGAGACTGTGAGATGTCTAATCTCCACAGCAGTCTGTGCCTGGCAGAGGGGCAGTGACACCTAATTCCCACACACCAGAGCTTGCATTTCTCTTGGCTAGGACACGTACTTCACTGAGCAGGAGGAAGAAACAGACAGGAGGAAAATATCCACTGCTATTTGAACCTCCCTCCTACGTCTGGTGATGCAGGCTGACGCAGGCTAAGGCTGTGGCCTGACCACTTACTTACTGGCTACAGTTCTACTGACCTACGCCTACTGTATCATCATCATCATCATCACCATCATCACCATCATCATCATCGAGGTATGCTGAGGGTTGAATCCCAGGTTTTGTGCATACCAGGCAGGTACTCTACCCACAATTATGCCCATGGCTCCATTTGCAAGAGTTCAAGTTTATTGTATTAAAATCAATTTGTAGTCGGGTGTGGCGATACACACCTGCAATGCCAACACCTGAGAGGCAGAGGCAGGAGGCTCAAGAGTTAAAGGCCACAGCTTTTGGGATGCCCCTACGCCAGTTGTTCAGGACCCACATGAAGGTCAAGCTGGACATCTGCTACCTATGAGGATGTAAAGTGAGTAAGTTAAAAAACAAAACAAAACAAAACAAAAAGTTGAAGGCCAGCCTAGGCTGCATGAAATCCTGTTTCCAAAAATAAGAAAAAAAAATCAATTTGCTTACCCTCACCCCTGGTGTTTTTCCCTTTCATGTGGTTCATGGAGACATTTTCTTCCGGAAATATGATTTCCAATGTCCATTCATTTTTACAAATCCCACATCATAGGCACAAGTGACATTGTTGTGTCTTTAGTCAGAGAGAGGGACAAGCTAATTTATGCCAGTATTTCCCAGAGCAACTTCTGCAGGACCCAGGCTTGCTTTTGCTGTGCTAATAAAACGAATCAGGGAGCCCCCTGAGTCATGGCAGACTTTTTTTAAAAAAAAAAAAATGATTTGTATTTTATGCGTATGTCTACTTTGTGTCCATGTCTGTCAGTGCACCGTGTGTGTGCAGTGTCCGTGAAGGCCAGAGAGGGCGTCAGATTCCTAGAACTGGAGCTACAGAGCTGAGAGCTGTACTGGAAACGGGCCTGGCATTCCTGGTCTTAACTGTGAGGCTGAGGAGTCGTCCTGGGGGAGGCTTTGGACTATTCGCACAGCTTAATGGGGGTTTAGAGCACTGGCTTTGCCTATTCTTGAGTCATCCTGAGCCACTGAGATCTCAGCTCTACAAAGTCCATATTTACTTTATGGGACTCGTCAGTGCAAGGTTGTTTCCTCCCTCCTACTTCTGTGACCCGTTTCCCTGTCTCCTCTCATGGAGAGAAGCTCAGACTTGTCGCATTGGTTTTTCGGCAACACAGGCTTTCTCTGACTTGGATGTAGAGTTTTAACTATTCTGTGAAAACGGCAGCAAAGGGTCAGCTAATTACTTACTCCAAGGGTGTCTCCATCACCACCTACTCCCCGGGCAGTGGGGCTGGGCCGCTCAGCACCAAAGCCCAGTCAGTCCCTCTCCTTCCCACTCAGACGCTCTCTCGTCACTTCTCCCCCAGGCCCGTCCCATCTCCTGACTCTGCGCTGTCCAAGTGCAGAACACTCTTGGAGATCTCATCTCTGATTCTTATCAGGTCCGCCTGGACTCACCAGTTCTGGTGGCTTCTGCTGCCACCGTGTCCCTACGTGAGGGCCTGTTGCACATCTCCACGCAACCTCACCTCAAACCCACTTGCACCTCAACTCCTCAGCAACACTGTGCACACATAGGCTTTCAAACCAGAGTTGCCTGTTTCTGTTGAAGGCTTGGATCCCTTTAAACCACACACTTAGATCCTGTAGTCCCTCCTTAGTCACTGCCAGTGTGTGCTGCTCTCCCAGAGGACCTGAGTTTGGTTCTCAGTGTCTACGTCAGGCGGCTGGCAACTGTCAAACTCTAGCTCCAGGGGCACCAATACACACACGCACACATGCATGCATGCATGCACGAACGCGCGCGCACACACACACACACACACACATATATAATTAGAACTAATGAAAACAAGTCATTAAAGAAGTCACTGTTTCCTACTGGTCCTGTCCATTTCTCCCCATTTCCACAGCCAGCATCCTACTGTGTCATAACGTCAAACCATAAGGGGAAGTTCTCATACAGAGTCTCCTCATGAACTCATCCCTGGAGGGCCTGAGTCCTCACCCACCCCCTTCCTCAGGACGGCTTACTTGCACAGTTTGAGAAAGCGTTCCTAGGACTTGCAAGTGCTTGTGCATGTGTCTCCCATTTCCCAGACACAGTCTAACTCTCAGAAACTTTAGCCCCCGGCATGAGCACTCCTAATTACCAAAGCACCAGAACCGCACACTGGGCTCCCGGGACACTGATGTTTGCATGTGAACACTTAGGGAATTTACACTTAACATCACTGGCTGCAGAGCTCCTGTGACTGGGGGAAGACTCTGCATTTTTACTTCCTATGTTTTAGCGAGCAGCAAGAATGGAGCCTACTGTAGGCATACCTTTTACAGCAAGACTAGTCTACAGAACACTGAGAGATTATGTCCTAGTAGCTCAAGGAACCTACGGCTCACATTCCATGTCCACCTCAGGCCATCGTGGGACACAGTGACATCTGACAAGCTGTTTTGCTGGACCACACAGCACCAAGCTACTAGACATGCTTCCTGAAATATACTTTCTAGGGACAATGATGGGGACGAAGGGTGGGAGGAGCGGAGCAGAAGAGTGGCCTAGGAGCCACATGATATTAAAGCTGAAAGGGGCACTCTTAGGGCTTAGACAGGGGACCAGGAAGAGGTGACGGAGGACAGTGGGGGCGGTAAACAACAGAATATGATGACATGGGCTCATGACATGGCCCAGCAGCCCATTTCTCAGCATGGTAAGTAAAGACTAAATTGTGGACCCTCCCTCCCCACAGGGCTGCAGAGAGGGCTCAGCAGGCAGGTGTGTGTGCACTGCTCCTGCAGAAGACCTGAGCTGCAATTCTAGCCCCCAGCACTCATGCTGGGCACTTTCTAAAACTCAAGCTCCAGGATATGTGATACCTCTGGCCGCTGCAGGTCCTTGTTTGTCCGCAGGAGACTATAACAACACACACACACACACACACACAGACACACACACAGACACACACACAGACACACACACACACACACACACACAAATATTATTAAAAAATCGAAAATTAAAAAATTAAATACTCCCCTAAACATACTTTCTACTAGATCTAACATAGCCCTTCCATGTTTTTGACCCATGATCCAGGACAGCGTTTTGCTATGGTAAGTCTCCATCATACTGCAATTTAATGGCATTTAAAGAAAATCTTTCTTTCTCTCTTTAGACCAAGAGACCAGACTCATGGTTTCAGGTAAGCTCCCTGCCACCACCTGTACTCCCAGCTCACAGGCCTGGCCTGCCACCACCTGTACTCCCAGCTCACAGGCCTGGCCCGCCACCACCTGTGCTCCCAGCTCACAGGCCTGGCCCGCCACCACCTGTACTCCCAGCTCACAGGCCTGGCCCGCCACCACCTGTACTCCCAGCTCACAGGCCTGGCCCGCCACCACCTGTGCTCCCAGCTCACAGGCCTGGCCCCTTAAGCCTTGGAAATCTGTTTTCCATGAATGTGAAGAGCAGCACACTCAGTGTTAGCACTGGGTCTCTCCGGACAGCTGACATTCTGAGGTCACCCAGTGAATCACCCTGTCAACATGCTTAGAGAGAGGGTCCCAGTGTCCACATCTAGAGCCTGCAGGAGTCACAGACAACTCTTCCATACTGCCGGGTATTTAGTTACAGGAACTGCAGTTACAAGACTGCCTAGGATACTTAGCAGTAGGAAGTCTGAGCCAGGTGAGGTGCTACACACCTATAATCCACACTCAGGAGCCAAGCAGGAAGGCTGACACCAGTGCAGGGCCAGCCTAACTAAAGAGTGACCCTCTGTAAGCTCCCAGCTGCACAGCGAGATCCTGTCTCTCACACACACTTTGCTGTCTGTTTCTTATTGTGCCCAGACTGCAGACTTTCCTCCAGAGATCCCCTTGGGGAAGAAATCCCAAGAGACAGTCAAAGAACAAGATGGTTCCTCGGCTTAATTCAGTGAGGGTATGATGCGAGTTCACATTATGACAGCTGTACATGATAGAACATACAATCCACAAGAGTATGAAAAGCTGTGTGTGCTGGTGTGAGCCGGCAATCCTAGCAAAGGCAGCAGGATGATGAGTCTGAGGCCAGCCTGAGCTACCTGGTAAGGCCTTGTCTCGAACAAACAGAAAGCGGGATGTGAGACCCAGGGAGGAACAGACTCCACAAGTCGGAAGAAGGTTTTCTACCAGCCTCTCACAGCGTCATGCTGGCCGAGCTCTTACCTTTTTAGACCTCCAGCATCGGCAGTACACGGCCTTATCCCCCAGATCCTCCATGTCGAAGGCATGCACCACCTTCGGGTTGTCTTTCTGGATCTGCAGATTCACCATAGCTTTGGTGCGATTCTCTTTCGCGTAGAACTTTTTGTACGCCAGGTAACCCAGAGCGGCTGTGCCAGCAGCAAAGGTAACGGCCGCGATCCACTCAACTGCAACAGGCAAGGGAGGGAGACAGACTGCTTGTGAAACCTGACAAACACACGACGCTTAAGATCACATGTCCTCGTTATGTGCAGGTTGTGGGTGCTCACACCACACATTCTGAAGTCAGAGGGCAACTTCTGGCAGTTGGTTCTCTCCCGCATCACATGGGTCCTGGAAATCTAACTCAGGTTTTCAACCTTGGTGGTAGCACCTTTGCCTGCTAAGCCATCTTACGAGTCTGATACAGCTTTTCAGTGTTAATAAAGGAACCCGACACAGTGGTGTAGCTATTCTTTTCCCACGGCTTGCTTTCCACAGCTCTTACCAACACAGATGTGTTTTTACTACTGAGTGGACAGCTAAGTTTGTATAAAAGAGGGAAAACCCAAAGATTATTTTCCCTTCCCCAAGACAAAAAAGGGACAGCAGGGCTTGATCATCTTTGATGAATCTCACATGTTCATCTACCTTTTCAGCAGCATGTGCACCTGCAAGGACCAACTGCTTAAAGAAGAGAAAAACAAAATCCGAAAAATAAGACTGAGGTTATAAAGAAAACAGATCAAGAGGTGATGCCATGAGCAAAGTGAGTTTATTTAAAGAGCAAAACCATTCAGTGGCTTTGAGATGCTTTAACCGAAAACCAATGCAACTCTACATCAACACAAAGAGAACCAGATCTAGACAAGACAAAGAACCGCCTGTAACCTCCCCATCACCGGGCATCCCCAGATCTGCCTGGCACGGCTGGCCCTAGGTCTGATTGAAAGGCCACGGGAGGGCTGGTGAGATGGCTCAGCGTTTAAGAGCACTGACTGTTCTTCTAGAGGTCATGAGTTCAAATCCCAGCAACCACATGGTGGCTCACAACCATCTGCAATGAGATCTGATGCCCTCATATGGGTGTCTGGAGACAGCGACAGTGTACAAATAATAAATAAATAAATAATCTAAAAAAAAAGAAAGGCCACGGGAGATTTGCAAATTGCCTTCTCTCTAAAATATAGTCTCACTTGAAACATTCAATAAATTCCATATTTCTAATTTCTTTCTAGAGTTCCTAAAACTTCATTTTAAGCAAAACATTACTATTCGATTGCCTGATGAGAATAAGAAACTGTTGGACTATCACGCCGTGCATCTACTCTTTCTGCATCTAAAGACTCCTTAGAAACCCAGGCGCTTAGTGATCACCCTGGCTCCAGGCAGAAGCCAAGGTCTGTGTTATCTGGTTAGTCTCAGCCTAACTTGTCTGGTCCTAGCATGGAGGGGCTGGAGGAAGATGTCAAACAGGGTCTGGATAAACCCACTGGACTGTTTCCTAGCACTTCCTCAATCACCTCTTCAGTGTCTGAAGTTCCCAGACTACCAAATAAAGCCCTGGGGTAATCATCACAGCCAATCCCAAAGCTATTGGGGACCCTAGGATGCCAGGATGCTTCCATAGGGTCTTTAGTCAAACTCCTCACAGGTGGGATGGAGGTAATGGTCCCTACACAAACCAAAGCTGAGCTCAGTCCTGACGGGTCCATGCCCATGCTAACCCCTTCCATCTCGGTCCTGCCGTTATACAGCTCCCATCCAGTGGTGCTAACGGGCACACTCTAAGTCCATGGACTCTATTTGCAGCCACAGTGGCGTTTTTCTCCACAAAGAAATTTAGACTGTGTTCTATCCTGGGTCATTTCCATTTCTTCAAGCTATGACATCTAAAAGAAACATTAACTAGTGTTTTCTGGTTCTCAGGTGCCGTATGACCAGGGGTCACTGGACGGCTTCAAATCTTTCACCTCAACAGGAAGATTTCTCTTTTTTATAGTACTGGGATCCAACCCAAGGCTTCGAGTGTGTTAGACAAAATGCTCTGCCTCTATACCCCCAGCCACCAGGATGGTTCGTACCTATGCATTCTGTGTAAATTAATCTTGAAGTCATTGTTCACACTGAGCTGTAATTTACTGTGATCTGCCTGACTCCTAGCTTTCCTTTTCCACGAAGAATGCAGGGAGCAGCTAGGTCCAATGGGAAGTCACCGGCAATTAAGGATGGAAGAGTCTGAGGCCAACCTTGGACATCGGACCTCAAAGGATAGAAACCTCACTCTCATAATGTCTGCTGACACTGCAATATAAGTTCAAAAGGCAGCTACAGAGCCCCTCTCCTAAATTAACACCACACAGTTCCTTGAATGCTGTGATCTTAGGTCTTTTTTTTTTTCTTCAGGAACTTATTTTGCAGGTAAATTATTAATTACCCCACCCCTGATGCCCATTTGCTGGAACGGAGGCCAGCCTCCGCCTCCTGATATTTTAACGATCCCTACAAACTTCAAATGCCCTGAGAGAACAAGTGGCTGGCATTAAGTTGCTTTAAGGCATTAAATCTATGCTCTTTTCTCATGTTACCATAGTTAATATATAGGATGGCTTTATAAAACAAATCCCAAATCAACTTTTACCTTCTCCAGATTTTTTTGACCAGGGAAGAAATGACAGAGGAGGTGACACAGACAAAAGCAGCCATTCCACAGGGGACACAGCAGATGCACACCCTGGATATGTAAGGGATACCACGGGGATCAACACATAGGCTGTGACCAAAACATCTCGAAAGGGCACCGGCCACCCTGACAAGTGTCCCAGCGCTGCCAGTGTGCTAGAGAAACAAACCGGATCAGTTCCAAGTGAGTGCTTTAGCCTCACAGAGCTACAGAAGGTCTTGGGTGTGTGTGTGTGTGTTTTCTATTCTTCCCTCTTCCCAAATTCTAATTTTCTAATCTCATCAGGGACAAACTGCTAGTTTCCAGAAGGAAGAAAAATGTTTCTATTTTATCACTCTATTGCTACTGCCTCAATCAGTTTTTTTTTCTTTTCAGGCAAAAAGTGGCAAACATCCCTGGCTACTTCAGGGCAAATACCAAAAAGGGAAAAAGAGAGATAAAAAAACAATACAAAAGCCAGCCTGTAGGGGAAAGAATCAGAGAGTAAACACCCAGTATTTGGTAGGTCTAGTCTCTTCAGGATAGGAGTATTCAGTGTGGCAGAGGTCTGTCTCTTGGGATTAGTAAACCCACTATGAGCCCAGAGCCCTGCAGCTACAATCAGAAGCGTCCTGTCGAGTGGGTCCAGCCTCTTCAGGTGGGGAACACTCAAGAGCAGGGTTCATCTTAAACTCACACCTGTCAGAGGCGAGCGACACAGGGCTCTTTGGAGGAGGCTTATTAGCTTCTCTATTGGTACCTTTCAGACTGTGGGTCAGAACTGGCACTCCCCAACTGTGAGCACTTTCCTGCCTCCTCCAGGGCTCTCTTCTTTCCTTTGCTATACACAGTTCTCAAGGGCAGGATTTTCATGTAGATCCATCAAACCTGTTTTCTTCTACACAAACACCATTAAAGGAAGATTAGAGCCTGGCGCCGGGCAAACGTGCTCTCTGCTTCCTCATGCCGCCCGGGGCCTGCTTCATAGCCTCCGCTTTCTCTTGGATGTGCTCCTAAGCCTACAGTTCTCTTGAGAGCCGATACCTCAGGTCTGCTTTATTGTAAGGGTTACCTTGCTCTGACTTAGAAACCTCACCCTTCACTATTTTCTGCCCAAGGGACCTTCACCTACCCATCACTACCAACTGCCACAGAACCGGAATGTGCATGGGCCAGGAGAGGGGGAGGGGCACTATGTTTTCTTCCTCAAGGTTTGGCACAAATGGCAGTCAGTGTTGAGTGAGCAGTATGTCGTGAGGGGTGACCAACTCGTCTTCATTTTCACCTGTCCTTTTTATGGCCCTGATGTTCCGACACCAAACAGCTTTTTCTAGACCTATGTAAGATTTACTTTCTCAGACTCAGAAATCCAAAAGCATCAGCACAGGGCACCTCAGGCACCTCAGGTACCCCAGGTACCCCAGGGATGCACCAGGTTACTCTTTCCCAGTTCAGAAACCATCCACCACAGACAGCAGCTTCTTCCAGCTACAGCTCCAAATCCTAACACCCCATTACCTGCTTACTAGTTTCTTGGTGGGACCTGTACATTTTTTTTCTCAGAAAAAAAAATTCATTAAATAACTTTCCAAAACATTCGAATATACTATGATACAAAGAACAGGAAAAATATAAAGGGAGTCTGAAGAAAAGTGTATATATATATATATATATATATATATATATATATATATATATATGTATGTATGAACAGGCTGGCTGGCATTGGTGATGTGTCTGGCACGACCAGGGTTGGGACCGACAAGAACGCGCACGCAAACACAAACACATAAATCTTCCTTACAACCTGGGGACAAGGCCAGGTAAGAAAATGCTACAGGAGAAGGCAGGGCAAGGTAGCCATTGAAGTACAGGCTTAGGGCTGGAAAGATGGCTCAGTAGATACCAGGCACCTGCTGCCAAGTTCTCATCCCTGAGTTTGATCCCTGACCCACACAGTGGGAGGAGATAACGCCCATAAGTTGTCCTCTGACCTCCACCTAGTGTTGTGACCCACATCTCCTCAACTCACTCAGTATAAGTAATTTCTTAAACCAGAATTTCTATTTAAGAGGCTGATGGGATAGCTCAGTGAGGTAGGGCCCTTGCTGGGAAAGCCAGATGACCTGAATTCTTCATGACTGAAGAGTAGACTCTACAGAGCTGTCCTGGACCAGGAACATGTATGCCTCCCTCCACATCACGGGCATATGCATGCATGAACATACACACACCCAAAAATCTGGGGGGAGGTAGGCAGCGAATACAAATACAGCCCATGATGTGCAACACTAGCCCTGGGGTCTGGATTCCCAGAACCCTCAAAGGCTGGGGAGGCTGAGTGGCTGCCTGTAACCCCAGCACTTGGGAAGGAGAGACAGGGATGCCCAGAGTAAGATGGTTAGCTAGACTAGCCAGAATCAATGAGCTCAGGGTGAAGTAAGACCCTGGCTCAATAAATAAAGTGCAGAGTTATAAAGGAAGGCGTGTGCACCACACACACACACACACACACACACGCGCGCGCGCGCGCGCGCGTGAATGTGGACATAAACATGCACACACAAAAGAAGTGGTTTAGAGGTAGTGTGTGAGTGACAACAGATGGATCTTCTGGGCTTGGGTAGGCCAGGCAGTCTAACCTCATCAGTGAGGCCTGGACTGGTGGCCCAGAAAAAGGTGAATGGTACCTGAGAATGACGTATCTGAGAATGACATGAGATTGACCTCTGTTGGTGTGAACATACGACACGCATGCGTACATGCACACATACACGGGGTTGGGGTGGGGGGCAGAATATTTGTCTTAGCTGGCTTCTTGGTTTTAGAGGTGAAGGTGAATTATGATGAACTTTTTGGCTGCATAGAACATAGAGTGGAGCTTGTTTTAAAAACCAGTTGCCAGGTGTGACAGCTCACATTTTCAACCCAGCACTGGGAGGCAGGCAGGCAGATCTCTGTGAGTCTGAGGCCAGCCTACTCTACACAGAAAGTTCTAGCTGGGCCAGGGATTGTCTCAAAGAAATAAATGGACAAAACCAATTAAAAAACAAAACAAACAAACAAACAAACAAAAAAACATTGGCAAGAGCTCCAGGAATTACAAGACAATGCTGTCCAGGGGAGAAGGTTTTAGTCAGCCTTGTGGACATGGAAGGGTAAGAGATGGCAGCGGATTCTGGGAGGTGCAGAGGTGTTAAGAGTGAGTTCAGAAAGGCCATCTATTGGGCAAGAATCACAAGACTGCATACGTGGAAGAATCACAAGACTGCATACGTGGGCAGCGAAGGCCACTTCCCAGAAACGGCCATGAGCTCAGTGGTACGTGCCCATGCCAGCCCGTGCTGACCATGGGGAGGATCTCTTCTACACTGCCTCTCTCTAACTCCAGTCCTGGTCTGAGACTCACTTATTAACCACGTTCCCTCTGTACCCCAGGCTCTCCCTCCCCAATATACAGAATTCTGCAAATAGAGACATTCTTTCTCCCTTTAATATGTATTTGTTTCTTGAGACAGTCACGTTACATAACCCAAGCTGGCCTCCAACTCTTGATTCCCCAGCCTCCGCCTCCAGAGGGCTAAGGTAGCTAGCAGGTGTTTGCAAGCACACCTGGCTGTAAGTCAATACTTTATTTTACTACTAAATACCAGTAGGAATGCAACTCTGGGGGTCCTGGATGTGGCTCAATTGACACACTGCTTGCTTTGTTGGCACAAAGCACTGAGTTCAAACCCTAGCCCCAGATAAAATGGGTGTGATATCGAATGCCTATAATCCCAGCACCCAGGAGGCAGGGGCAGGAGGATATCAGGAGTTCAAAGTGACCATTTGCTATACAGCAAGTGAGAAGTAGCTCAGGCCAAATGAGGCTTTATGTAAGAAAAATAAATAAACAAACCACAACAGTTTTACAAGACACAAGACGCAAACATTAAAAGGTATATTATGGGGGCTGGGGAGACAGCTCAGTACTTAAGAGCATGGGGTTCTTTTCCAGAGGACCAAGGTTCTTCCATTCCCAGCATCCATGGCTAACACTAGTTCCAGGATTACTGACTGACACCCCCTTCTGGCCTTTGTGGGCACTTCATGCATATGACACACCAACATACAAGCAGGCAGAACACCCATACACACAAAGGTAAGTAAATCTTTTTCTTTTTTTTAAAAAAAGGGGGGGGGGGGAGAGGGGAGGCAGATATTTGCAAGCCATTCTATAGTCCAACTCTGAGGTGGAAGAGGCTGGTAGAAGAGACTTGTAAGGCCTCTGGGACTCTCCCTATGGTCTTCATAATGATCTCTATGTTTTTCACATTAAAAAAAAAAAAGTTACCCAACACAACAAAGGTGAGTACTTCAAGTTGAAGCCAATTGGGGGCTTCACCAACAAGTTTCATATTCCTTAGATAATAACATACTAATGGACAGTCACTTTTGAGCTTCCCTGCGCCCACAAATTAAGGCAACTAAACTCTTACCTTTCGACTGCAGGAAAGACCAGCCTGCAAATTGTGACTAGTTCTTGGGATTCACCTCCTTCATCTTCAACGGCTTATTATCTAAATCAGGATCTAGTGTCTGCTTACAAAATATGATTCCAGGTTCCAAACAAAAACAACATTTTGCAATCTTCTGTCACCCGCGTGCAACAGTGTTCCTACAAAATTAACACAACTGCACCACAAATCACAGTTGCACCACAAGTTACAATGAGTACTTTATTTTATGCAATAGTCTTACTGCCTGGAACATTGTTTGTCCAGGTGTGGTGGCAGGCCTATGGGTTCAGCACCGCAGAGGTTGCCACAAGAGGATTTCAAGGCTAGCTTGGGCTAGAAAGATCATGTCTCAAAACGACAAAACAAACAGAAACAGATTTTTAAAAACCACCAAGAAAATGTAAACTCACCAAAGTGCATGTATTTAAAGGAGTCCCCAGATGGGTATCCTTTAAAGTCAAGTTTGCAGAGACTTATCTCTTTTTGCCTTTAGCATTTTAAAACTATTTGCACGGGCTTTAGCATAATGGCTTTGGTCAAGCTTCATGACCTGGGTTTGATCCCTGGGACTCACAGGATGGAAGAGAATCAGCTCCTACAAGTTACCCAGGGAGAGAATCAGTTCCTACAAGTTATCCATTCACTTCCAAGCAAGCTATGGCACCAGGTACAGACACGCTCACACGAATAAATGTTAAAAATAAAAAAGTTGTTTTCCCTCCTATGTGCCCAATCAGTTCCGTCGACATTAAGTAGAACTTTCCAGTATATAGAGCCAACCTAACTACTATAAAATTAAGGTCCCACTTTCCTAGTCAGTCACTCTGTGGGCAACCAGGGTAGAGGGGTACAGTTCTCCCCAAATACCCTTGTTCTTCCTGACACCCTGACATGGGGGACTGGTCACGTTAGGGATGGTTACAGAACCGAGCAGTATAGATGATCCCTATTTGCTGAATGAATCAGTGGGGCTCACTGTAATTTAAGTTTTTACTTGTACTCAACTAAAGGTTAGAAGTAACCAAACCCTGGGGTGTGGCGTTTTATATCGGGGCAGTCAATCACGTAAATCGCACTGGTTGTGGACAATTTTAACAGTTGATCGCCGAGGACTTACTTTACACTAGCCAAGTTTCACAAATTCAATTCTAGTCAGATTTCTACAAACTTCTGCTTTTAACGCTAGGGCAAAAGGCTATTTTCAGTGGTTTCTCAGATCACTGTCACCAGCGGCCGGATGCACAGTACGAAAGAAACTTGGATACTGAAAACCTCGGATTGGGTTTCTTTACCTAGAATTACAAAGTCGGCAAAACATCTACGACGTGACCAGTCCCCGATGTCAGGGTCTCAGGAAGGACAGGCGTGTTTCGGCGTGGGCTGCGCCCCGCTAGCCTGGTTGCCCACAGCGTGGCTGGCCGAGGAAGTGGTCCAGGGCCGGGATGCCGGCCCGCACCAGCATCCCGCGAGCGGCCGGCAGGCCTGCGCCTGCCCTTGTGATGGTCAAGGTGAAAGTCTGGATAAGGGTGGCGGGGACCGGCCGCAGTCGGCTCACCTCGCACACCGGAGTCGGAGCTGAGGCCCATGGCGCGGGCAGCGGGAAGGCCGTGGCAGGACCGCGCGAGCGAGCGCTGGGGGACCTCGGAGACCTGGGCAAGACGCGACCTCGGGGCCCACTCACTGCCACTGCGCAGGCGCCGCGGCAAGCGGGGAGCGCGTGTGCGGGCGCGCCGGTATAGAGTCGCGCATGCGCGGCGGGCCCAACCCGTCAGACGAGTGAGGATTTGACAACCGCGGGACAGCCTTGGGCGCTAAGGCGGTGACTGCGTCTGCGCCGTCCGGGCGAGCCTATCCAGGCCGGGTTTTACAGGTGGTCCGGTTGAGAGCGTTTCAGGTGACTCAGGACGAGTACCTGCAGGACTGTCGTCCGATGGCCTGCTGATCCTTTGACTTTTGGTAATAAGTAACGCAAGGAGTGGTCAGCTCAGCTGTGGGTCCTGCAAACCTGGCCAGCTCCACTGTGGGTCCCGCAAAGACAGACTTTGCTATAGGATGCCAGTGCAGGCACACTGGCATCGATGGAGCTGTATCTAGAGCCTCCGCTAGCCACATCGGGCGGGCCCCATGCCTTCTGCCTCTGACCCTGCCACTCATGCACCCAGAGAGTACCAAAAAGACGAAAACAAAAACAACTCGCTCCGGCTGGCAAGGCAGTTTAGCGGTTCTCTGCTTGCAACAACGGTACAATGTTTGCCCAGCATGCACACCGCTCTGCTTTCAATTCCCAGCATGGCCATGAATAAATAAACATAAGTAGATTGTCCGCTTAGAAAAACAACGATTTAGAAGGTTGCAGAGGCTTAGATGCCTAGGACCAGCCTCTGCAATGGAGAGGGGTTCTGAGAGAAGGGGTGTCTGGGAGCGACGAAAACAAACGACTTGAAGTTAAATCATGGGTCTAAACTGATGGCCTTGGTTCTGCTAAGATGGTTTTCCAGATTGTCCATCCTCCTCCCTCCCTTCATCCCTCTGTCTTCCTGTCCCTGTCTCCCCCGACTCCCCACTGTGTGTTCTGCTCTGATCTACACAGATTTTCTTGCTATTTTAAAAACTCTGAGATAGCTTTCTCTGCTAGTAAAAAATTCTAAGAGCTATCAGAAAAGCTGCTATAAAAAAAAATTGGATCTTCCAACCAAGTCAGAAATCCTCTCGAGAAAATATTCCTTATGGTTGTGAGCCACCATATGGTTGATGGGGAGTGAACTCAGAACCTCTGGAAGAGCAGTCAGTGCTCTTAACCGCTGAGCCATTGCCCCAGCCCAAGAAAATAGTCTTGAAGAGCTGTTTGTGCTCTCCAGAGATCGCCAGACAGCTCGGCTCTTGCTAGAGAAAAGACTAAAGATCTGCTATGGCTTTCTGCTAACTCATCTCGTGCAGACCAAAAGTCCGCATTTTATTTTATTTACATCTAAAGTCAGTTATTTATTCTAAGTTCCCTTTTGATTATCCTATGAATCAGCATCCCAAACCCAGCCCCTTTGACTCTTAGGAAACAGCAAGCACACATTTTCTTTTAACGTTGCAAAAGAATTCAGAGATCTGCCTGACTCTGTTACACACAGATGCTAAGCTAGCTGGGTGGGATCCTGTCCTGAAATTACCATTTCTACCTGGACCTAGATTTGCTGTGTCCCAGGCTGACCTGGAACTCAGGAATCTGCCTGCCTTTGTATCTTGCTGACAAGCTGGCTCATTAGTGCAGCTGCCTTTGCTCCTTTAGACTCATGATGAAGGTCCTCATAATTCACATTGCATCCTTATATCTTTACATAGTTGAAAAGTTATATAGTTTAAAAGATATATATATATATATATATATATATATATATATATATATATATATATTTATATATATATAATTTAATGCATATGAGTACACCACCATTGCTCTCTTCAGACACACCAGAAGAGGGCACCAGACCCACGAGACTCCATTACAGATGGTTGTGAGTCACCATGTGGTTGCTGGGAATTGAACTCAGGACTTCTTGTAGAGCAGTTGGTGCTCTTAACCGCTGAGCCATCTCTCCTGAGAAATTATATATGTTTGAACTCTTGTATTTAGAGTTCTTTTCCATAGCCTTAAGGGCTGCCCTGAAGATTCCAGGTTTACCATTTTGCTGAGACATTAGCCACACCTTCACCCCCTGGACTCATGCTGTCTCAGATTATCATGGAGTCATTAACGTTAACAGACAGGACATTCCCTGGAGGGGTGCGAAAATACGTACATTATTACACAAACAAACCTTCTGCCCAACTGAAGATAGTGGACACTTGCCACACTGGGCTCAGCAACTCCTGGAGGCTCACACCGGGGCCCTGTACCAGAGGCAGGGACCACGCTACTCTGTTCCCACCAGAGCTTGGCACTGAGATTAAAAGACACAGAGATTAAAAGCCGTATATCTTTTGCATAGGACCCAAGTTTGATTCCCAGCGTCCTCGTCGGTGTGCCCACAGCGCCCATTACTCCAGTTCCAAGAAACCCCACTCTTCTGGCTTCCCTGAGCACAATTAACAATCTTAGAAAAAAGATGAATTAAGATGACTGTCAATGTCGAACGCATAAACTTGTCATGAGTACTTTGAGGTAGTGGTCGGGCTGGGTGCCAACTTGGAAGGTGTGGGAAGAGACTTCTTCAAGCAGGATGCTCCTGTCTCTTTGATCTGGGAAGGCAGGACGTTGTGGGAGGTCTGCCCATAACCAGTCACTTCTCTGGGCTGCCCGGCCACGGGTCTCTTAGACCTAATGCGCTTTTCACATCGAGACCCCGGACGCCAGTTCGCCCCCTGGAAGCTCTGAGGTGTGAGCTGGTGATGATGCAAGCAGTGGGCAAGAATCCCACCCTCCGACTTCTGAGCATGCTCAGTGCGGGTCGGCGGCGGGCTCGGACTTTAGACCTGCTTATTAGGACGCTGGTCTACTCTTCGGACGTGTTCAGTAGTAAGGGTGAACAGGTCCGATCGGTGGCCTCTGCGCATGATCAGTGTGGAGCTGGCCCGGATCCAGTAGGGTAGCCTCTGGGCATGCTCAGCACGGCGGGGCCGGATCCCGAGGAGTAGCTGTTGCGCATGCTCAGAGTGGTGCTCGCCCGGCCGGAGCGCGCAGGGGGCGGGCAGAGGCGGGGCCGCGGCGCCCTTATCCCGGGCGCGGGCGGCCGGGGTTCAGAGTGCGGGCCGCGAAGCGGGCAGCGCGGTCTCGGCATGGGTCCGCGCGCTGGACCTGCGCGGGCGATGCCGCCCGGTCCTCCCTGACGCCTGACGCCGAGTGTCGCCGCCCCGATGGCCGCCGAGCCCCCAGCGCTGCGCCTGCGGCCGCCGGGAAGCACCGGAGACAGCCCGCCGGTGCCGCGCCTGCTCGGAGGCTGCGTGCCGCTGTCGCATCAGGTGGCTGGCCACATGTATGGCAAGGACAAAGTGGGTGAGTGCGGCCTCGGGTCCCCTTCCCCAGTCTTCAATGTGCTCTGTCCCGGCAGTCCCCGACCTCCGCCGTGCCCTGCTCCAGCAGTCCCCGGCCTCCGCTGTCCCCAGCCTCGGTGGTGCTGTGGGCTTAGCCGTCGCCACCCCTACAGTCACTTGTCTCCACTCTCCCCACCCCGGCAGTCTCAGGCCTCCGGATCACTGTCTCAGCTGTCCCCAGCTCCTCTGTCCCCACCCTGGCGGTCCCTGGCCTCCCATCCCAGTCACAGCTGTCCACGGCTCTTCTATTCCCTACCCGGCAGTCCCTGGCCCCAGGTGTCCCGCAGCCTAGAGTCACCGGCTCCCGCTGTCCCGAGTCTCCCCTGTCCCTGGGGGTAGGAAGCCGGGCGTCCCCAGGAGCAGCCACAGGCTCCTAGTGGCGCGGAGAGGCGTGCCCCTTCGCCCCAGGGAAGGCGAGTGTTGATTGGAGAAGGCGTTGTTAGTAAAAATAAGGAACTTGGTTTTCTTTTCTGGACCGGGAAGTAAATTCTCCCTGGAGCTCGAGATCTGTTTATTACCAGGAATAGTAATTGCTAGAGGGACCCAAACGTTTAAGACGCTAACCCATCGCTGGAGGGGAAGGAAAAACAAACTGCTATATGCTTTTAAATTTGCTTTGGCTCATCCAGGATCACTCCCTGTCCCTCGAGGAGGATTCTCCGGTGTCTTTGATTGCGCTGGGAGGCGTGGTTCGGCGGTGCAGAACCTTGCCTCCTGGGTAGGCTACACACCCAGCTGTTAGATAGAACAGTACACATATAAAATACGCATTCTTTCCTTATTCATTTTTATAGACTGTTCCCTGGCATTTGACATGTGTTTTGAGAATTCAAAATTTGTAGAACAGCACAGGATCTACTCCAGGGCAGAGACTGTAATTCAGTCCGCTACTCACAGCGTATGGGCTCGGTGGACATACGAAGTGTAGGATGAACTTGGGACTCTTGTAGATAGCTGACCCGGATGGTTTGTGTTTTGCTGATAAAGCGATTCAGGTATAGGCTGGTAAAGCAATACATTTATGTCTTTTCTTTCTTCAGTGGTGTAGAGGATTTAGTCTAAGACCTTAGAGAGACTAGGTAAGAGCATTACCACTGACCTACTTTCTCTGGGGCTTCCTCTCTCTTTTAAGATGGGGCTCCCTAAGTGCCACTTGGAACTCACTGTAGCCTAGGCTGGCCTTGAACCTCGGATCTCCCTGAGTGGCTGAGGGTATAGGCATAAGCCTGCTAAGGTAATACATTTTAAGACAAGCCTGGTTAAGTGTCACACTGATACAGTGGCCCAGAACCAAACCAACACCCACTGTATATTGTGCTTGTGGGAAGCACACAGACTGGAGCCCAGCTGCCATCAGGAAATGTTGAAAGACTACGTCAGAGTTAGGAAACTGCACACTTGAGGTTCATGGCTAGGATATTTCCTCCTATGCCTCATATCTGGAGTCAGCTTGCTTATAACAATGGGATTCCTATAATCTAAAGGCCTAAGAAAGTGATTGTTTCCCTGGAGGTCCTGGAGACTATAAAAAACAGACCCAAATAAAGATCATCTGTGATTGGCACCTGGGACTAGCTTACGATGCTAGCGACCTGTTTAGAGTCACTGATGATTGATCACAGAGTGCCCTGATTGCGACTTTAAACTGTGTCACA